AGGGGGAAAGGAGGCACCCCTGGACAGGTGTCACGCCTGGGGGTGGCAGCCCCATCCCTGCTGTGCCCTGAGCCCTTTTTTGGGGTTTTTCAGGGTCCCCCCGGCCCTGTGGGCCCTTCAGGCAAGGACGGCTCCAATGGGATGCCCGGACCCATCGGCCCCCCCGGACCCCGCGGGAGGAGCGGCGAGCCCGGCCCGGCGGTGAGAGAGGATCTGGGAGGGGAGGGATCCAGGAGGGGAGAGATCCAGCTGGGGAGAGGGGATGCGGGGGTGGAGAGATCCTGCGGGGGAGAGAGGATGCAGGAGGGGTGCGATCCAGGAGGGGAGAGGGGATCCAGGAGGGGAAGAGAGAATCCAGGAGGGGAGGGATCCAGCTGGGGAAGGGATCCTGCGAGGGAGGGATCCTGTGGAGCACAGAGAGATTCAGCAGGACAGAGGGATCCTGTGGAGCACAGAAGATTCAGCAGGACAGAGGGATCCTGTGGAGCACAGAGGATTCAGCAGGCAGTGGGATCCAAGCCCCGGCCGGTCACCCCATGACCTCTCGTCCCTCCCGCAGGGTCCCCCCGGGAACCCCGGCCCGCCCGGCCCCCCCGGGCCCCCCGGCACTGGCATTGACATGTCGGCGTTCGCGGGGCTGGGGCAGCCCGAGAAGGGCCCCGACCCCGGGCGCTACATGCGGGCAGACGAGGCGGCGCCGGGGCTGCGGCCGCACGACGCCGAGGTGGACGCCACCCTCAAGGCCCTCAACAACCAGATCGAGAGCATCCGCAGCCCCGAGGGCTCCCGCAAGAACCCGGCCAGGACCTGCCGAGACATCAAACTCTGCCACCCCGACTGGAAGAGCGGTGAGAGAGAGGCTCCAGCCCTGTGTCCGTCCTTGTGTCCGTCCCTGTGTCCATATCTGCCTCCATCCCTGTGTCCTCCTCTTCCTCCTTGTCCCCTGAACCCCCCGCCCGGACACCAAGGACCGTGCTGCCACCTCGCTGACCCCACCACGGGTCACTCACGCTGTGCCCTCCGTCCACAGGCGATTACTGGATCGACCCCAACCAGGGCTGCACCCTGGACGCCATCAAGGTCTTCTGCAACATGGCCACGGGGGAGACGTGCGTGTACCCCAGCCCCGGCAGCATCCCCAGGAAGAACTGGTGGAGCAGCAAGGCCAAGGAGAAGAAGCACGTCTGGTTCGCCGAGACCATCAACGGCGGCTTCCACGTGGGTGTCCGGGATGGGCGTGGAGAACAAACGGGGAGGAGGGCTGGGCGTGGAGTTCCACAGGAAAGTTGGGGCTGATGTCCTTCCTGGGGGTGAAATTGTTGGTGGATCTATCAGATACTGGGTGATTTGAGGATTATATAGAGCTCCTGGAACTGATGTCCATCCTGGGGGGGGAATTGGTGGTTGTTAGATCAGAAATGGTTGATTTAGGGGATTTTACTGAAAGTTTAATGTCCCTCCTCGGGGTGAAATAGGTAATGTTTGGAACAGAACTGATTGATCCAGAGGACTTTATGGAAATCCTGCAGCGGTGTCCTTCTTTAGGGTAAAATTGATGGGGTTTGGATCAGATATTGGTGGATTTAGGGATTTCATGGACAACTTGGAGCGATGTCCTTCCTTGAGGTGAAATTGATGGGTTTTGTACCAGAACCAGTTGATTTAGAGACTTTCATGGAAATCTTTACATCAGGCCATGACAGCTACACCCCTCTGGGAAAGCAGACTCTGGAAATTCCTTGAAATCCCCCCCAAAAAAGCCGGAAATCCCCCCAAAAAAACCCCAAAAAAGCCGTCTGAAAGCCTCCCTCCTCCCCGCAGTTCAGCTACGGCTCTGAGGACCTGGCGCCCAACACGGCCAACATCCAGATGACCTTCCTGAGGCTGCTGTCCACCGAGGGCTCCCAGAACGTCACCTACCACTGCCGCAACAGCGTGGCCTACCTGGACGAGGAGTCGGGCAGCCTGAGGAAGGCTCTGCTCATCCAGGGCTCCAACGACGTGGAGATCCGCGCCGAGGGCAACAGCAGGTTCACCTACAGCGTGCTGGAGGATGGCTGCACGGTGCGTGCCGGGCAGGGAGGGCGGAAATCGGGGCAGGATCCCTAAATCCTGGGGTTCACCGGGTTGGGAGGAAGCTGGAGCGAGCTGTGAGGTGACAGCGTGTCACCAAGGGCCACCAGCCTGTGAGGTGACAGCAGCGTGTCACCGCGGCCAGGATTTGGGTAACGCCTCCAGCTGGCCGTGGTGCTCCAGGGATGGGGACTCCAAACCCCATTTCCCAACATTTTTCCCCCAGAAACACTCTGAGAAACGTGGCCCTTCTGGGTTTAGCAATGAAATGGGGCTCAAACTGAGATTGAGAAGGTTCTAGAAGATTAAATAACCCCATTTTCCTGATGCTAGCAATAAATTTGGGCCCAAACTGAGAGCTGGAAGGTTCTGGAGGATTAAATAACCCCATTTTTACCCATTTTTCCCCTAGAAACACACTAAGAAGCGGGGCCCCTCTATGCCTGATGACAAATTGGGGAACAAACTGCGATTTGAAGGGTTTGGCGGGGATATAACAGATTAAATAACCCCGTTTTTGCCCGTTTTTCCCTCAGAAACACACCGGGAAGTGGGGCAGGACTGTCATCGAGTACCGCTCGCAGAAGACCTCGCGCCTGCCCATCGTGGACATTGCACCTATGGACATTGGGGGGCCCGAGCAGGAGTTTGGGGTCGACCTCGGCCCCGTCTGCTTCTTGTAAAAAAAAAAAGGATTTTTTTGGCGTGGTTGTTTGTTTTTGGTTGTCGTGGTTTTTGTTTGTTGGTTTGGTTTTTGTTTTTTTTAAAAAGCCCAGCCCGATTCCTTAAAAAAAGAAAAAAACCACAAAAAACGGGATCCACCCCAAAAAGGAGCTGCACTGAAAGGGCTCACCCCGAATCAGGGAGCAACCACCTCATCCCAACACCAGAATCAAAGGAAAAACCCGTTAATATTTATTTATTCTCTTCCTGGAAGACCTGTTTTTGAGGTCAGGTGGAGGTGGAAATGCCAGTGATCCCTTTTTCCCTGAAAAAAAATGGGATTTCACCAATCCAGGTATCAAAAATCCCCTCCTCACCCCATATTTTCCCCTTTCCCCCCAGCAGGAGTGTTCATGTATAATATGAGTTTAAAAACACACAAAAAAATCAAAAAATGGTGCTATTCTTGTAAACAAGTCTGTATTTTTTAACATCTGTTGGTATAAAATGAAAAAAAAATCTAAAAAAAAAAAACTTTTGGTCAAAAGTAAAAGTTGAGTTGAGTTTCTTTTTTTTGGGTGTGTTTGCAGTAATTCAAATATTTCCTCCCCATTTCAACCACTATAAAGTTCTTCAAGTTGGGGAAAAAATCCCATTGAAATCCTCATTTTGGGTAAAACCTGCACATTTTTTGGCTTGGGATACTTCAAACTAAGGGGGAAGAGTAGGGGCAAAATCCCCCCCAAAAAGCAAAAAAAAAAAAAAAAAAAAAAAAAAGGGAAAAATTTGAAAGTGAAAAATTTTGAAGTAGAAACACTTGGAAAAGCAGGAAGTTTAATTGTGGAATTCTTTTCCCATAATGAGGATTGGGACAATCCTGTCACCTGGGTGAGGGGAGGCTGTCCCCTCCTCCCCATGAATTTTATCCTGTTTTTTACCCACAAAAAAACCTTTTTGGGGCTGTTTTGCAGCACTGGAAGTAGGAGACTCCCCTCTTGCTGTGCCACAAAAAATCCCACATGGAAATTCCTCTCCTCACCAGGCTGTTCATTACAGGCAAAAAGCTCAGAAATGGGATTTTTTTAATGATCTTGACAAAAATCAGCCCAGTGACCCCGAAGAGCCCCAAACCTGCTCAGATCTCTCCTGCAAGAGGCCCCAGGCAGCTCCTGGGTGAGGAATTCCTGAGTTTCACCCCAATTCTTTTGGGTCAAAACTCCTCTTTTTGCCTCTGTGGATGGCAGAGGCATCTCTCCTTTGCTTGGAGAAATTATAACTGGAAAATATTTTTTAAAAACAGCTTTTAAAAAAGCCATTTTGGGGCAGAATTCAAGTTTCAAACCCTCCCAGCTTCAAGTACAGCAGCTGCCAGTTGTGGCCAAGCACCAAAACATTGGCAGGGGAAATTCATTAAGGAGGATTGGGGGATTAAAGAGGATTTTCCACCCAAAAGTGCCCTTTGAGACGCTCTCCTAATGATGGGGGCTCTGCACCAAGGGTTTGGGGTCAAATCTTTCCCCTCCTGGTGCAGCCAAGCAGCAAATTTGGGGGTCCCTCCTGGGGGCAGCCCCCCCAAAAAACCCTCCATGATCCTTGGAAAAGTAGGGTGGGGCTGGGGGTAAAGAGGGGGAAAGGGAATGTGGGGAGACCCCCAGAAAATCAGGATTAAACCCAGCCAGGAGGGGAAGAAAATTGAGAAAAAATCAAAGTTTGAGATTTCTCCCTTAAAAAAACAAAACAAAACAAAAAAAAACTTGGTGGGAATTGGTCACCAGGGAAGGAGGTTGGGATTGGAATTCTGGGCACTGGGCCCAGTTGGGAATGGGCACCTGGTTTTTTCCCCCTCATTTTCCCCCAAAAAATCCTGGGAAGGGCTGGGAAAAATGGGGTTTTTCAGCTGGAGGAGGAAAGGCTCCAGGGTGACCTTTCAGGAGAGCTGGGGACAGATTTGGGATAAAGGACAGAGGGAAGGACATGGGGAGTGGCTTCCCACTGGGATCTGGAGGTTTGGGTGGGATTTTGGGAAGGAATTCCTCCCTGTGAGGGCAGGGAGGCCCCGGGATGGAATTCCCAGAAGATTCCCCATCCCTGGGGATGAGTTTTAGCATCCTCCCCAACCCACGCTGGGATTCTGTGGAAATCCATCAGCAAAACAGGGATTTTTTTTTTTTTGCAAAAAACACCACAAGAACAATGGATTTAGGACAAAACCAGAGCTTTTCTTAAAAAAAAAAAAAAAAAAAAAAAAGGACAGCACACAGAAAGATCCAAATCAGGTTTAATGAAGAATTCAGCCCTACAAATGCTGCAGGGGCAGGAATCTCCTGCTGGAAAAGGGAGCAAAGTGTGGATTTTGTGCCACTGTCACCCAAAAATCCAGTAATTTTTCCACTGAGGAAGAATCCCCTCACATGTAGCTGTGTCTGGTTCCCGAATCCCACGGGAAAGGAGGGCTGAAATTCCAGAAAAAAACTCCCAAAAAGGGGCAAAATGCCAAAGGGCTGCGGGGGCCGAGCTGGCAGCTGGATTTTGCTGGCAGGAATGTCCAGCTCCCGGCAGGGAGGCCTTGGAATCCCAGCCTCCCACAGAACCCCCTCCAATCCCTGCTGCTTTGGGAAGTGGAGCACAAAAAGCAGCAAATTCCCGAATTTCAAACCCCAGGGAAGAGCCTCTGGATGCCAACGGGGTCGGAGCCGCAGGGGAAAAATGAGGGAGAAGTTTATTCCAAAGGTTTGGGTTCCTTTGCCTCCTTCCAGGTGAAACAGAGGCTCATTCCGGGTGGGAACTGTCCCTTTTTTGGGGTCCTGAGGTGCTGCCATATTGAGCAGGAAAACAAACTCATTTCCACCGAGAAAAAATAAACTCATTTACTCTCAAAAATCAAATCCATTTGCCCCAAAACACCCTGCCGGTGCCAAGCTTCCAGAACAGGTGCAAACCACTGGAAATCTCTGGCATTCCAGCCCTCAATTGAGCAGGGAAAGTTCCCGATTCTGTGGCAGAAAGCAAACCCCGGCGGGTTTGTCCCCGCAGAGCCACTCACGGTCCCCCTGCCGTCGGTCGGAGGTGGCTGCGGCTGCCTCGCTGCCCTCAGGGTGCTCCCCGCGCCGGGGCCGAGGAGTTGGAGCTGCAGTCCAGGTAGTGGAAGGTCTCCAGGGCGCTCTGGGCGCTGTGGCCGATGTAGGAGAGCTTCACCGAGGTCCTGGCAGGGCAAAGGGACACCCTGGCAGGTTGGTGCTCATCACACCACTCTTCTTTTCCTCAAAAAAAAAAAAACCTCCCAGATTCCTGTGGGTTTTGGTGAAAAGGTGGGGACTGCAGCCTCTGCAGGGAGCTGTGCTACACTCCGTATTTACCCCCTTGGGCTGGGTTAAAACCTGAGCCTGAGGTGGGATCTGGGGAAAAATCCAAGCAGGATTTTCTTCCTGGAGCTGAAATCCCTGGCTGGAATTCCCTTGGGATTCAGGAACCACAGAACAGAATCTTTAAGGTGGGAAAAGAGCTCCAAGAACCCAAAGCAGGAGCGGCACCCACCTCATGAGGATCACGATGTTGTGGACCTTCACCTTGGGCAAAGTGCAGAAAAAACTGGAAAAGATCAAGGAAACTGGTCAGCAAGTGAGAAACTTAAGGAATTTGGGGATTTTTGGTAGCTCCTGCTGGTATTTTTCACTTTGGTGCTAACAAAACCATCTCGCAGCACCTTGAGAAAATTCCTGGCAAAGGAATTGAGCAGGAAAAGTGAGTGTTTTCCAGATTAATTTCCCAAATTTTAATCAAAGCAGCTCCACCCCTCTCCCTTCCCAGGTTATCTCCAAGGAGCAGTAAATCCTTACTACACATAGGACAGGGATCCACCCAGCTCTGCCTTCACGGTGAAATTCACCTGCAACAGAGCGGAAAAATCAGATTTCAGTGCAGCTCCATCACCCTTCAACCCCATTTCTGAGGGAGTGGACAGAGCAAAAGCAGCTGTGTCCCCCGGGCACTGCAGCCACGAGGTGAACTCGCAGGACTCCCAGTCTTTACCAGTTTGTCCCTCAGGGGCTGGATGCTGGAGACGTTGGTGAGCTGCTGGCTGCCCACCACGGTGTTCATGTACTGCACCTGGCTGCTCAGGCTGCTCACTGACACCGAGTAGAAGTTGGAATTCCTGATCCTCAGCGTGGCCTGGAGGGAACAAAAACAACCCTGACCTTGCTGGCTGGTTCCCCTGGGGATTTGTTTTCCCAAATCCATGGAAACTTTACCGTGATGGCCAGGAGGACGGCGGAGTTTTTCCTGTCAAACCACACCTGGACCACTTTGATGCCATCGTCGTTCACCAGCACAGAGTGGGGGAACACGAAGAAAACCCCCAGGCCAGACAGCAGCAGGCAGAGCAGCACTGAGAGCAGCACATAGAGTTTCCTGGGGAAAACCAAAAAAAATTAAATTCTTCACCTCTTCTGCAAGATTCAGATCCTAAAAAACCCCACGCCCTGTTTGGTTTCCTTGGAAGAGGCACCCAAGAGCTGCTGTCACATTTTTAATGTCAAAATGGCTCAAAATCCTCCCTTTGCACATTTGGGGCTGGGTAATGAGCAACCAAAACAGCATTTTGGGGTCTTTTTGCAATTGCTCCCAAACTTCAGTGAGGGGATGGAAGGTGGGGGTGGGACTGTGGTGCCCATGGTAGAAATATTTAAAATCACACTTTAAATCTTTTTTTTTGGGTGAAAACAACCCCTAAAGCAATAAAAGAACCCCTTCCTTACGTTCTCTGAGGACGAAGCCGTTGGTCGCTGTAGGGGATCAGAGCCACCAACTCGTTCACCTGCTCTGGGAAGCAAAATGGGAATGACACATAAAAAAGTGACCTTTTCTTGCTGTTTAGAGCTGGCTTTTGGGGTGTTTACGCCCCAGGGGAACAGCCACCTGTGGGGATGCAGCCGGTGCCTTGGCAGGTGGGACAGGTGACGCTGTCCTGGCCCGTGAATTCCATGTAGGGAATCTTGGCCCCGTCCTGCACGGGCTCCCGGCTGGCCGGTGCATCCTCATCCTCCTCATCCTCGCCGCTCCTGCGGCTCGGGGCGGTGCTGACGGCAGACAGGGAGCGCACGGAGCCCATGGTGGCGGCTGATGGGGACGGCTGTGTCACCGGCGAGAGGCGGCAGCAGCAGCTCTGGGCTCTTAAAGGGGGTTTAAGCCATTTCTAAGCTGCAGTGCCCCGCTCAGGGGTCCCAAAGCCACCACAGTGTCCCTGTCTACAAAGGGCATCCTTGGAGAAAGAGACACCTCGATGGGCTCCATGGCCAGCCGCCCAAAACCCAGCACGCCCCAGGGCTCCCCCTCCTCCACCGAGAGCAGCCCCCTCCCCAAGACACAGCCCCGGGGCTCGCCCGCGTCCCCTCAGGAGCAGCCCAGAGCCCCCGAGACCCCACGAGAGGAACAGGCCCTGCTATGGACCCCACCTCAGAGACTCAAGGGCCCCCTCCCTCAAGGACCGCCCTTTGAAGACCCCCTCTCTGAGACCCCCTCCCTCAGGAACTTCTCCTTCACAGCTCCCCACCCTGAGAGACGGAGCCCCCCCCTCAGAGACCCCCTCATGCTCAAGGTCCCCCTCCCTCAAGAGCCGCCCTTTGAAGACCCCCCTCTCTCAGAGACCCCCTCCCTCAGGAACTTGCCCTTCACAGACCCCCACCCTGAGACAGGAGCCCCCCCCTCACAGACCACCCTGTCCGGACGCGCCCCCTCACAGACCCCTTCCCTCAGCGCTCTCCGCCAGGGGGCGCCCCTCTCCCGCCGCCGCCGCAGCCCCGCCCCCGTTCCCGCGCGCAGCCGCCGTCGCTATGGCAACTGCGCCGCCCGGGGGCGGGCGGGGGCTCACCGTGACCCCGCCCATTCCTCATCATGCGGGATGGGCGGGGTTGCTTAAACCACGCCCATCCGCTGTGGGTGTACGTCACAATGGAGGGCGGGGTTTACCGAGCCACGCCCCGTCATTTCACCCCAAGCGCACGCGCCAATTATCGAGGGGGGTAGTGGCCACACCCTTAATTTGCATGCGAGAGGTGTGGTCAGAATCGCGCACGCGCAAAAGCAATGCCTGGGTCCGGTTGGGCGTGGCAGGGCGGGGCAGGGCGGGGCCGTGACGTAAATCGCGCGCGTGCGCGCAGCGGAAGCGTTCTGCCCGTAGCGCGCATGCGCGGGGATGGAGGCGGGGGGAGGCTGGAACCAGTACGGAGCTGACGAGCCCCAGTTTGGGGATCCCTGTCCCAGTACGAGCCCCGTCACACCAGTACAGACTGGAGCCACACCAGTGCGACAGCCCTGCTCCCAGCACGGAGCGGCCCCACCCCGGTACCGAGCGGTCCCGAGCGGTGCGGGCCCGCCTGTCCCGGTACGGAGCGGTCCGAGTCCCCCGGCCCGGGCCCCCTGTCCCGGTCCAGCCCAGCAACACCTCCAGCCCCCCTCAGCTTCTGGGGGTGATGCCCCCAGGCCGTTCCCTCCCCGCTCCCGGGTCCGTTTTCCTTCAATAAATTCCCTCCCGTGGGACTTTTTCCCACCACGCCCGAGAGAAAACCGATGGAAAACGAAATCCCTCCCTCTGCCAACCACCCAAACCATCGACATAAAATTCACGGCGAATTTAAAATATTTTGCGAGCTCCAGAGGCAGCGCCTGCCCGGCCGCAGCAGCCGTATCCCATGGAAATTTTCTGGATCATTTCTCCTCTCCTTCCCAGGAGCGAAAATTCAGGCGGGGAGAGAATTCCCGGCTCTCCTTCCTTCCTGCGCGTCCCGGGGGCTGTGGCATGAAGGGCTGGAAAAGGAGAAGGGAGAGGGATCGGGAAAGGAGAAATCCCTGCCAGCCCCTTGGGATGAGCTCGACCCCGCAGAGAATTCCCAGAGCAGGGAAAGAACCCAAAATTCCCCCCGCAACCTGCCCTCGGCTCCTGTCGCGTCCCGGGTTGGATCCCGTTTTTTTTCTCCAAGTTTTTTCTGCCCCCAAACCCAGCGGGAACGGGCGGAAGGGAGGAAGGCCCTTTTCCAGCCGCGGGAGGGATTGTGGAAGCGCTTCCCGGGAAATCTCCGCTCTCCCGGGACCGGCCGAGTCCGGACCCATCCTCCGGGATGAGGGAGCGCTGCTCCAAAGACAGGGAAATACCGGACTGGGGCTTTCCCCGCTTGTCCGTGCGTCCCGCAGGGATTTCTGAGCCCTGCACGGGATCGTGGAGTCGCAGGATTTTTTGGGAGGGACCTTGGAGCCCACCCAGCCCCGTTTGTCCCTCCCAGGTGGCTCCAAGCCCCGGGCAGGGACAATTCCGGGGTGGCAATGAGGATCCTTAAGGTCCCTTCCAAGCCCAAACCATTCCATGAAGATCTGGGATCGCAGCTCCTGCCGCTCCGCATCCCCGGGCCACCTCCTCGTCCTCTCCCAGCCCCGCCGACCCCTTTTCCCAGGCTGGTGCGGCACAAAAACCGCTCACGGCTCTTGCAGTTTGCAGGCAGGAATGAAACTCCGGGCAGGAATGAAATCCTGCCGAGTCCTGCCCGTGCCGGCTGTCCCGGGGGTGCGGAGCAGAGCCGGGATTTGGCCCCACACCCCTCGTGCCGGGGGACTGAGGGCAGGAGAGCAGCAGGGAATCAGGAGAGACGAGGAGAATTCAAACCCTCCTCGGCCACAAACTTTCTCCAGAGCTCGGGAGGCACAAATTCCCGCTGGGAAAAAGGTAAAAATTTGTATGGAAAATGCGTCCCGCTGGTCGGGTGCGTGGCCGTGTCAGTGGGGGAAAACCTTGGGAGATTTTGGGACGTTTTTTTGGTACAGAAAGAGCTGCGATCCCAAAAGCACCGGGATGGGGATGAGCAGCTTCCCCCACTCCCACCCTCCCGAAATCCTCCCGCGACACGAAATTGCCGCTGATGAGCTCCCATTTCTTCCCAGACGTTGTTTTCCCCTCCTCAGCCTCATTAAATCAATTTAAAGGCGATTTCGAAGCGTTTTCCCCACGCAAACCGCGGCGGCTGAACCCGGTGCCCGCGGCTGCGGGGGCTCAGCTGCGCCGGGGGCTCGTTTGCTCCCGGATTTTGGGTTTAGGGGACCCCCGATAAACCTGGGAGCAGCAGCGGGGCTTCTCCAGGAGCTCCTCTCGCTGCTTTATTCGGTGCTGCAGGTGGCTGCATCCCGGCTGGGGATTGGAGGATGGAAAGGGGAAAATTGCCGAATATCCCGATTTTTTAGACTGGGGGTGCAGCGTGCGCAGGGAATGAACACCTTTGGGTTGGGTTGGGTTGAGCTAGCTCTGCCCAAAATCCCACATTCCAAGTCACCGATAAGAGGGTTTTGGATGGTCAAGGTCGGTTCTTGCTCTGTGCCAAATACTCTCAGACCCCTCAGGAGCAGCCAAACCCAGGCGGGTCCCCAGGCTCGGGTCACCCTCGGGGTCTGTGGGGACAGCGGGAGCAGCTGGGGGTGGCACTCTGCTACCGGGGCCGTTTGTTCTGTGCCGGTACAGCACCGGGCACTCACCGGGAGCGGGATCGGCTGCCCGAGATCACCGGGAGGGGTGGCAGCCCCCAGGGGTCCCGTGCCCAGCTGGGCGCTCCCGGAGGGGGAGAGGGGTCGGGTGGGCAGCGGGGACCGGGGGCAGCAGGGACAGGGTGGGCAGCGAGGACAGGGTGGGCAGCGGGGTCCGGGACCCTCCGGGGAAGCCCCCGCGCTACCGGGGACCACGTGCAACTCCGCCACACCCCCTTCGTCGTGACCGCGCCCATGTCTGGCCTTATATGGCGTGCGTGGGCGGGGCCAAGGCGGTGCCGCGCGGGCAGGGGCGGGGCGGGGAGAGGAGGGGGCGGGGCCAGGGGCGCCGGTTCCCGTCAAAAGGCGGCAGCGGGCGGGGCTGGTACCCAGGTACCGGGAAGGGGACACCGGGACCGGGGACACCGGGACCGGGGACACCGGGGCCCAGGTACCGGGCAGGGGGACACCGGGACCGGGGACACCGGGACCGGGGACACCGGGGTTCAGGTACCGGGCAGGGGGACACCGGGGTTCAGGGACAGGGAAGGGGGACACCGGGACCGGGGACACCGGGACCAGGTACCGGGAAGGGGGACACCGGGACCGGGGACACCGGGACCGAGGACACCGGGGTTCAGGTACCGGGCATGGGACAGCGGGGCCCGGCCAAGCGCAGCCCTTCCCGCCGCCCCTGCCGTGACTCCGGCGCTCCCCGGGACTCGGAGGTGGCCGCTGCGGGCGAACCGGGGGCGGCTTCTGGGGGTGCGGGGGCGGTGGGGGCCCCGGCGGCGGTGGGGTGCTGCCCGGCTCCCGGGGGTCCCGGCGGTGCCCGGGGTGCTCCCCGGCTCCCGGGCTGTCCCCGCCGGCAGCCGCCCCCCGGCCCGGCCGTGGAGTCTCCGGTGCTTCCTGGTTTGCCCTCGCGGTGTCCCCGTCCCGTGCTGGGGGTGGCTCCTGGTTTTAGGGGGCTCAGAGACTGTCCAGCCCCAGCAATGCGGGAGTTTTGGGGTGTTCCGGGGCATCCCCACATCCCGGAAAGGCTCCGCTGTGCCCTCCCCCCTCTGGGGCTCCCCCTTTTTGGGGGGGCTTCGAAATCGGGAAATTCCTGGGCGCCGTGGGGGTGTTCATGTGAATTTGGGGTTTCCTGTAAGGTGATTTTAGCGTTTCCTGTAAGGTCGGCTTTGGGGTTTCTGGCTGCTCTCATGATTAAGCGCCCATTTAAGCCCACGTTCAAGGTCCCAGCTCGGGGTTTTGGGGGGCTGAGCCGCCCGGCACGGCATTAATCACCTTACTTCTTAATTCCCCAGTGCCTTCCCATATTGTGGAGGATCCCGAGCCGTGCCAGCCGCAGGAAAATCAAGGTACGGGGGGATTTTTATGCACCAGGAATTGAGGAAAATCAAGGTACGGGGGGATTTTATGCACCAAGAATTGAGGGATCCTCCTCAGAGCATCCCAGAAGAGTTTTTGGGGCGGTTTGGGGTCGGCTGAGCCGCTCCTTCCTCTCCTTTTCGAGGCTGCAGCTCTGAGAAAAGTTGGGTGTTTTTTCTCGGAAAGAGGTTTTCGGGAGAAGCGACGTTTTTGCGGCGTCTCCTCCTCCCCCGGAGCCGCCCGTGACTCATCTTCCTCCGCCTGGGGAAGGAGCCGCGGCCGCGGCGGGACACGAAAATCCCGGGAAATTGCGGTTAAACCCAGGCAAGAGAGGGAAAAAAACCTGGGAAAGCGAGGGGAGCAAAAATCCAGGGAGGTGATGGGGAAAGCAAGGTGTGAGCGGGGCAAAAATCCTGGGGAATTTGGGTTGAAACCCAGGGAAAAGGGAGGGAAGATCCAGAGGAATTATGCGGAAATCAAGGGGAGGAAGAATGCCAGGACGTTGAGATCAAATCCAGGGAAATAGGGCAGTAAGGGGAGAAAAATCCAGGGAAATTAAAATTAAATCCAAGGGTGAATGGAGAGAAATCCAGGGAAATATGGGGAAACCAAGGGGAGCAAAAATGGTGTAAATAAAGTTAAATAAAGTTTAAAAAGCTCCTGTGTTGGGCTGGACCTGGTAGAAATAAAGAGGAAAAAATGCCAGGGTGAGATTGGGTTCCCTCTGGAGTCCTGGAGCAAGGAAAATCTGGGATATGATGATGCAGATGATGATGAGGATGATAGGAGATGTCTGCCCCAGATGTCCAGGGTGTGACCAGATCAGGACTGAGATGTCCTAGCAATAACCAAAATCACAAAAATCAGACTTTTCCCAGGTAAACCACGCCTGGGGTTTCTTTCCCTGAATCCTGCTGCGTTTAGGGAGGAATAAATGGAAAACCCAGTTGTTTTTTTCCCCCATTTAATGGCTAATCCTGCTCCAGAGAATAATTTTTAACTTCTTGTGGCCGAGCCAAAGCAGTGCCAGCCTGGCCCCAGCTCCCTGAGGGGAAATTCTGGAATTGTCAGGGATTTGGAGAGGGAAAATCCCGGTAGGAGGTGGGCTGGGATGGAAATAAGAGCCTAAAAAGGAGAGCAATAGGAATGGAAATGGTTCTGGGAATTAAAAATAAAATAAATAAATTCAGGGAGATGAAGGGGAAAGTGAGGGGTGAGAGGAGCAAAAATCCTGAGAAAACATGGGGAAAGCAAGGGGAGCAAAAATCCAGGGAAATTAGGATTAAACTGAGGTGTGTATGGCACAAAAATGTGCCAGGGGTGGCAGTGCCAGGATGTCCCCAGCGCTGCCACTTCATCTGCAGCCTCTGCTGACTCAGCTCCTCCTCGGGCCCTTTTCTCTTATCTCGGCCCTTATCAGCTCAACCCTCGCCCTTTTTCCTTGCTAATAAACGGAAAAGGGTGGAAAACAACACCTGGCATTTTTATCCTGGCATCCAGAGGCGTTTCCTCCTTCCCTGGAATCCCAGGATCTCCTTGCCTGGAGCCGTTCCTGCTTCCCAGGGGCAGACTGGGTGGAAAAGGGGATTTTTGGCACATGAAGCCTTCCTCGTTTTTCTCTGGAAAAGTCTGAGCCGTTTCCGGAGGGTTTTCCCACCTTCTGCATGCCCCAGGCGTGGCTGCTGCTCCAATTTCCCAATTCCAGCTGCAACATCTCCGGCTGCTGCATCATTCCCCCTCCTCCTCCTCCTCCTCCCTCCTTGGGCAAGTCGAGGTTTTGGGGAGTGAGAATTCCCTTTTCCTGGGCACATCCCAGGGAAGGGAATGGACAGGGATGTGGGGCTTCTAAAGGCTCCTTTTCCAGCTCCAAGGGGGGACCTTCTGTGAAAACTCCCTTTTTTTCCAGGCACATCCCAGGGAAGGGACAGGGATTTGGGCTCCCCTGTTCCCTAAAATCCATTCCTCCTCCCAAATATCCCTCCCGTCTCCACAAATCCCCTGCTCCAGAGCCTGACAAGGCCCAGCTCTATTTTTAGACCGGGATGTGTCCCCCGGCCTTGGGCTCACCTGGGAGGGGACAGCAAATCCCAGATTCCCTGGGAATTGGCACAGCTGGGAATCGCCTGTGTGGCTCCACACCTTCCCAGGGCTGTTTCCAGCACAAAAAGAGGATTTTATTCCACAGTCTGGGGCTGATGCTGCCCTCCCGCCTCTGCTTTGGGAATTTTTCCATAGGGAGAGCCCTCCCCAGTGCAGTTTTTCAGGAATTCTGGGGTCTTCTCCCATTTCCTCCTGGCATCCTGATGCAATTCCAGTGCCTGAAGGAATCCTGGGCTCTGCCATCCCTTCCTGAGGGGCTGGGACACTGCAAGAATTCCATGGGAAAAACCTGGATTTGTGTCCTGCTGCTGCCCAGGGTGGCCCCTGTCCTGCCCTGACCCCCTGCCTGGGACAGGGCACAAAAATTGGGATTTTGGGGCTGTTTCATTCCTGGAAAGGCCCCAATCCCACATGGGATCCCAAGGCCACAGATTCTGGACTCTTCCTGGAATATCCTGAGCTGGGATAATCTGCTCCAACTCCTGGCCCTGCACTGGACACAAAACTTCCAAATATCCATGAGCATTTTGCAAAAATTCCTTGGGCTGGGCAGCCTCCGGGCCCTGCCCTTCCCTGGGAAGCTTTTCCACCCTCTGGATGAGGAATTTTCCCTAAAATCCACCCTAAACCTTCCCAGGGGTCCTGTCCCAGCAACTTCAGATAATCCTTGCTCCAATCCAGGGAATTAAGGTTGGAATTCCCCAAATTCCAGGTCCTCTCCCCAGTCCTTTTTTTGGGGCAGATTTCAAGAGTGTTGTGCTAGAATTTTTCTGGAATTTTGCTGGAATTCTCCTCCCTCTGGAGAAAAAAAAAAATGACCGGGGACACCGGGACCGAGGACACCGGGGTTCAGGTACCGGGCATGGGACAGCGGGGCCCGGCCAAGCGCAGCCCTTCCCGCCGCCCCTGCCGTGACTCCGGCGCTCCCCGGGACTCGGAGGTGGCCGCTGCGGGCGAACCGGGGGCGGCTTCTGGGGGTGCGGGGGCGGTGGGGGCCCCGGCGGCGGTGGGGTGCTGCCCGGCTCCCGGGGGTCCCGGCGGTGCCCGGGGTGCTCCCCGGCTTAAAAAAAAAGCCCCAGGGGAAGCTGGAGGTGGTAAAGAACAAAAAATCCATGTTGAAAATTCTTGGGAATTGCGTTTTCCCGGGGTGGTTTTCTCTCTCCCGAGGGTGACGGAGCAAGAACCTGTTTGGGAATATTTCGAAATCCAGGGAGAAGCTCCGGAGGAGTTCTGGAATTTCCTACAAGCAGGGGCAGCTTCTGCCTGCCGGCCTCCCCTGGATTTTGTTTGGGATATGAGAGGAAGGATTCCTTGGACAGCCTGGAATTAGGGATTAGGAAATAAAGGAGCAAAGGGAAGGATTTGGGGCAGGAGGAGGAAAGGTTTGGGGGACACCAGGGAAGATTCTGGGGGGAAAATTCCCATTCCTGGATTTTTTTTGAGTTTTTCCTTGGAAAAGGGGGAAAGCTTCTCCATGGAATGACCACACTGGTGCTGGAGGGATCTTTTTTGGGGGGAAAATCCTAGGAAAAGCTCAGCTCAGTTGGATTTTCCCATTTAGAAGGAGCAGTGGGATGTGTTTGGAGTCCAAGGAATGGCAATCCAAGGGTTTAACCTGGAATAGTCCCAATTTTTAATGGGCTGGAGAGAAAACCAGGATCTGTGGATCCCCAATTCCTCATCCCAGAGTTCCCTCTCGTGCCAGGAGCTCCGGAGTTGCCGGGCTCGTTTTTCCCAGCTGGAATTCCCAGGGTGTTGGATCTGCCCCTGCTCTTTGCTCTGATTCCGTTGGGAAACTTTCACCCCTTCCCTCTCCCGGTTTTCCATGGATTTTTATTCGTCTGGAATGCCCCAGTGCAGCAGCTCCCGCGGGGTTTTGGGAATTCTTTGTTTGGGGATTCCGTGGGATCTTCACCAAACGTGGGAAGGGATCCCCAGGGATCCTCCAGCCCAGCCCCAACCCCGAGGCCCGGCTGGGAAAATCCAAATGAAAACAAAATTCCAAAGGAATTAAAGGAATGAAGGTGAAAATCCAGGCTTGGGAATGGTGGCAGAGGAGAGCTGGGAATGCTGTCCCAGGGAAAGCCCCAAAATCCCCCTCAGGGATCCCTGGAAAACAGCCCCAAAGCAGAGGCAATTATTTAATTGGGAGTTTAATGAAATTTAATGGATTTAAAGGTACAGCCGGAATCTGGGAATGGGCGGGTTTGGAATGGGAAAAAAACACTTATTTTTCTCCTTTTTTAGAGGAAAAAATTTCAGAGACGCTGGGAATTTTTAAGGAGCCTTGGGGTTGTGTTGCCTCATTAGCGAGGCATTAATTGAGCCTCTCCCAATCCCAGAGCTTTCCCAGCATTCCAGAACCCCAAAAATCCCTTTTTTTTTTTTTTTTTTTGTGGATTTAATGGCCAGAGCCAATGGGAATAAAAATCCCTTGCCCAAATCAGGGGGAATCCAAGGAAAAATCCTGAATTTTAGGGGTAACTTTAGCACCAAACCCCCGATTTTGCCCCAGATCAGGTGGAATTGAAAGAAAAGCCTTGACAAATCCCGATTTTCCCCCCTCCCAGCCATGGATCCGGGCGCTTCCAGCACCTCCGTGGCCGATCCTGCCGGGGATTGCGAGCGGAACGTGCCCAGGGTCTGCGGGGTCTGCGGGGACAGAGCCACCGGCTTCCACTTCAACGCCATGACCTGCGAGGGCTGCAAGGGCTTCTTCAGGTGGGCCCGGGCCTCTGGGAGTGCCCCATCCCAAAAATAACCCCAGGAATCCCAAGGGGAATCTGCTGGGAACGCCCCATCCCAAAAACAAACCCGGGAGTCCCAATGGGGTCCCGAAACAAGCCCGGAATTCCGGGTGGTGCTGCATCCCCAAGGTTTAAGGGGGGGAAATCGCCAATTTCTTTTGTGGGATGGGTTTTTCCCTGTTTTTCCAGGGTTTTTCATGGATCTGGGAGCCTTGCGGTGCTCCAGGAAAAGGGGGGAGTGTGAGAAAACTCCCCTGAGGTCAAAAATTGGGATTTTTACCCAGCCAAAAAGCTCTAAAACCTCAAAAAACTCTGGGATTGGGGGATGAGGAAAGGCAGGGGAAGCCCTGGAGCAGCTCTTTCCAAAATCCAGTATTTCCAGGGAATTCTGCTGTCCCCCCTGGGAATTCTGGGTCACCCTGAGACTTCTACCCCCATCCCCCTGGAGCCCTCCCCACCTCCCAGCACGAATCCCTCATTCCAGGCTGGGAATGAGGCTTGGAATCCTCTATTTTTAGCCCCTGGGATCCCAAATCCGCCTGGGAATGGGTGGCTCGGGAAGAGTTCCATGGAATTCCAGCCCAGCCCGGCTCCGGTGTCACCCTGGGAGCCTCCGGAGCCACCCAAGCTGCAATTTTCATTCCAAACCTGGAATTTTGGCCTGTCCCGAGCCCCGGGAATGTTTTTCCCTGCTCCAAGGCCTCGTTGTTTGTGCATTCCCGGCCTTTCCTCGAGTTTTTGAGAGAAAAAGAAGCTTTTTGTGCACCAAAACTGGGGATTTGGGGGTGTTCAGGGCTGAATTCCAAGTGCTGGGTTTGTGTTTCCCCATTGGGAGCAGCAAAATTCCAAAGGTTTTGGTGGAATGGGGGAAAAACAGGGCCCTGCCATCCATTTTTCTGGGATGAATTCCCAAAAATCCCAAATTCCTGTCAGGAAAAGGCAGAGTGCAGCCTCTTTATTTACATCTCCCTTTCTAAAAGCAGCTTTTAATTCCTGGGGCTGCAGCCAGACAAAATCTGGAAGATTTTTACCCAGATTTTATTATTTTACCCATTTTTTAAAATTTTATTTTATATTTTGCTAAATATTTTATTTTATTACCCATATTTGTAATTTTAATCCATATTTGACATATTTTACCCCTATTTAATATTTTTTTACCCAATTCTGATTTTTTTTTACCCATTTTTTTATCTGAGTATTGCCCTTGGTCACTTCCAGGGATGGGGCAGCCACAGCTTTTCTGGGAATTCCATTCCAGGGCCTCTCAGGGAGGAATTTCTTCCCAATATCCCATCTACCACCTTTTTCCTGGGAAATTCTGCCTCTGACCCTTTGTCCTGGGAAGATTCTGATCGTTTTTCCCTGGAAGTTTCTGGCCTTTATCCTTGGGATATTTTGGCTCCGACTCTTTATCCCAGGAAGATTTTGGCTCTGACCTTTTGTCCTGGAAGGTTCTGACCATTTTTCCTTGGAAATTCTGGCTCTGGCCGTTATTCCTCGGAAGGTTTTGGCCCTGCCCCGTTGTGCTGGCAGGCTCTGACCCTTTTCCCTGGGTTATTTTGGCTCTGACCCTTTGTCCCGGTGGCTCCACCTTCCCGTTCCACACTGTGGTTTCGCTGCAGCTCAGGGTTGTCATTTTCAGGCTCCTTTCGCTGTGTCCTGCAGCGAGAATTCCTCTCCCTGCACACCCAAAATGTGCTCGGGCCAGTTCTGCCAGCAAAGCCGGGCTTAGGGCGGCTTGGTTTAAACCACACGGCCCCAGCTCGGGTTTATTTTGCTGCCCGGGGGGGTTTCTCTGCAATCCTGCAATCCTTCCACCCTCCTGGCCTTAAAAACCCATGTTTAGACCCAAAAATCTTAAACCCAGCGGGCTGGGCTGGGCTTAGAGCAGCCCTGTTTAGTGGAAGGGGCTCAAGCTGGGTTTAAGGTCATTTCCCCCAGACCATTTCGGGATAAACCCAAATTCCCCTGGGGGAAATTTTCCTTTTCCAGCAGTGCCTGAAGCTCCCAACCCAACTGATGCTTGCAGCATCAGCCAAAACAGCAGGAATGGAGCCCAGAAAGGGTTTTGCCCTTTTCCCTGCCCTTTTCCAGGAGGAGCATGAAGAGGAAGGCCATGTTCACCTGTCCCTTCAGCGGGGACTGCCACATCACCAAGGACAACCGGCGGCACTGCCAGGCCTGCCGGCTCAAGCGCTGCCTGGACATCGGCATGATGAAGGAGTGTGAGTGTGCCCGTCCTGGGAGTGACCTGGCACTGCTCCCGGGGCCCTGGCTGTGCCTCTGCCACCTCCCTGCTGCCAGGGCTGCCACCAGGAACCTCCCCGGGGGATGCAAAGGGCAGGGGAAGCAGCGGGTAATGATTGAGAGGAGCTGGTTTAATGATTCCTTCCCATCCTGGAGTTCTGTTCTCATGGATTCTCCTGGTTTTTGAGCTCCATGACTCCCACTGGCTCTGAAAATCCTCTTTTCCAGCATTTTCCATGCTCCATGGGAAGAGCTGGATAAGCTTCCCCATCCCCATGGAGCCAGGTTGGGTTTTCCTCTTCTCCCTCTGGGATTTTTTTTTCCTGACCCTTTTTTCCATGTGGGATAAAGCAGGGACTTAAGTCAACAGCAGAAGGAATTAAAGCGGTTTTTAAGCCCAGTCCAAACACACAAATGTGGCCCAAATGTTTGTTTTCTCCGGGTGTATTTAGAGATAAGTGGCTTTTAAAAATAAAACATATTTGAGGTGCTGGGGAGGAGCTGGGTGCTCCTGGAGAGCTCCAACCAAACATTTTCTGCTGGGAGATTGTGGCCAGGCTGTCCATGGAGCTGGGAATTTGGGATATGGAGGCAGGGCCCTTTCCCTGATGTGCTAATCAGGGCACAAACAGAGCCTGATGTCACCCCAGGGCCTCCAGAAAAATCAGAATCTGGAGTGTTTGCGGGGGAAAAAAAGCTTACATTTCCAATGATCCTGATGGGAATCTCTGGATTTTATTCTTTGGGATTGGCAGGTTGATGAGGGAGGAAAAGGCCACATCCCACCCTGGCTGTCCCCAAATTTTGGGGAGCTGTCCCTGGTTTTTGAGGAGCCCCTAATGAGAGAAGTGCTTTAATTAGTACCAGCAGCCAATTAATTACCCAGGAAGGGCTGGCAAGTTGCTGGGCAGCAATTCCAGGGGGTTTTCTCCAGATTTTCTCCATGCTTTCCCCACAGGAGTTAACGTGTAAACAGCCCCGTTAGCAAATCCTGCCTGCATTAACCAAAACTGACCCAGACAGGCTAAAAATAGCTAAAAATGGACTTTGCCGCTGGAAAAATGAGGGAGGACGAAGGGTTTGGGTTATTTTTAGGTGGAAGAAGGGAATCAGGAAGGCTTTGAGGCCTTGTTTTCCACAGGGTATTGGGATTCAGGGCTGGGAATGTGGGGTAGGGAGGAAGAGGAGCAGGGCAGATCCTCGTGCCGGGTTTGATTTGGGCTCTTCCTCACCTCTGGAATTTGGGGGTTGGGGTCCCTCCCTGGCTGCCAGTCCCAGTTTGGGGCAGGAGGAGCCGGGTTTGGCCAGCCGAGGGGTTTGGTGACCCCAACTCTCCCAGCCCCATGCCAGGCCCTGGCAGCCCAGGTCACCACATGGCATTTCCAGAGAATATTTGTGGTTTTCTGCCTGTCTGGGGACAAACAGGGCAGAGAAGACCCCTCCAGGCCTTGGGATTTGGGATTTCTCCCATGTCCCCTCCTCGCTGCTTTCTCCCCTTGCACAAGGGCCTGGGAAATCCTTTTCCACCTGCTGGGCGGCCAGAAAATGTGGAATTACCCCTTCCCTGCCTTCTTCCAGCTGCCTGGAGCTGAGGGAGGGGTGTCTGTCTCTCAGGGATGTTGGGGCTCCCTTGGATCCTTCCCTAATAATCCCCAAAAATCCTTCTCCACGGATTTTAACAGCTCCTGCTCTTTGTGCAGCACCAGGGACCCGGTGCAGGCCGAGCCTGTGTAGATCTGATGATTTTTGTGTTAAAAACTGAGAAGGGGAAATGGCAAAATCCCAATTTTCCTCCCCGATGGTGGAGGTGGGAGCGACCTTTTGGCTCCTGATGAGGTGTCCCAGGCCCCTCTGAGATTGTGCAAGGCTGGGGAATGGAAAATGGAGAATGGAAAATCGCCCTGGGCCAAAGGAGCAGGCGAGGCCGAGGCCTCCTTGGCTCGAGCTCCTCCTGCTGACCTCTCGCCCCAAATTCCACCTTGACTCTCCCAGCACGGGGTCCCTGCACCAGGGAATTCGGAATCAGCCCCTGGGGGTGTCCAGTCCCTGGGGAAAGGAGTTCCCTTTGCTCAGCCCTGCTTTGAGGGGCCTCTGTTGTGACCCCAGGGATTTCTGCAGCTCCCTGGTGCCTTTGTCCCTTCCAGCCCCTCTGAGGCTGTTCAGGGCTTGGAGTGCTTGATAAAAAAGTGAAGATTTCAGCCCAAATTGTCCCCAGCTGCTCCTTTTCCCTGAACAAACAGGCCCAGCCTTGCGTGGAGCCCAACCTTTGGCCGCTGCTGAGCACCACCACCCCAATAAAAGCCATAAATCCCCAACCCTGAGGGCGGGGGAGTTTGGCTGAGCCTTGACCTTAAAAATCAGATTAAAACTGCCCTGAAGCAGCGCTGGACACCCCTGGTGGCAGCTGGGAGCCGAGGGTTTCAGGATTTGAGAGTGCCGAGCAAACAGGGAGGGAGCAGAGCAGGCACAGGGCTGGCATGGCCTCGGTGCCCCCAGAGCCTCAGGAAAAAAAAAAAAAGCACCAGAAACCTCCTGGGCACAGCAAGAAACTGGGGACAAAGGGGTTTTGCAGGTGACAAAAGCGATTTTTCAGGGTTCCAATCCCTAATTCCGCCCCTTTTTCTCTCGCAGTCATCCTTACGGACGAGGAGGTGCAGAGGAAGCGGGAGATGATCCTGAAGAGGAAGGAGGAGGAAGCACTGAGGGAAAGCCTCAAGCCCAAACTCTCAGAGGAGCAGCAGAAAGTCATCGACATCCTGCTCGAGGCCCACCGCAAAACCTACGACCCCACCTACGCTGACTTCACCAAATTTCGGGTACTGACCCCAAAAATGTCTTTTATCCCTCAAATTCCCTCTGCAAAATCCACAGACCCCTCTGCCAGCCCCGTTCCTCAAGGAGTTTTCTCTGTTTTCTCTCCCAGCCCCCTGTGAGAAGCCACCCCAGCAGCAGAGGGGCCACAAAATCCTCGTCCCTCCTCACCCAGGACCTGTCCTCGGAGGATTCCTCGGATCTCTTCAGCTCCGAGGCCTTCAGCACATTCCCAGGTGTGCCCCAGCTCCTCCAGGCCCCAAACTGGGATTGGGAGCCAGGGAGGGATCCCAGGATTTGGCTTGGGCTGGAGGTGACGCCTCAAACCACCCCAAATTCCAGAGGTGGGGAAGGGTTGTGCCAGAACCCAAATTAACCCTGGCGTGAGGGTCTGCCCTCCTCCTCTTCCTCCTCATCCTGCATTCTCAGACTGGGATCCCAAACCGGCCCTGAACCCCAACACCCTGTGAAGAACGTGGCCTCAAAACCACCCAGATTCCCTCCCCTCACCCCTGCAGGGCTCACAGGGGCAGAAATGCAGCCCCTCCACCCAGATCTGGCATTGCAGAGCCTTTGTTCAGCTCCTGGGGGGCTCTGGGGCACAGACCCCACCATGGTGCCCTCCTCAGAGCGTTCCAGAGCCTTTGGGAGGCTCTCTGGGGTGCAGACCCCGCGGGGTTCCCTCCTCAGAGCGTTTTCCTGGCGCAGACCCCGCGGAGCCGCCGCCGTTCCCGGGCCTGGCGCTGCCGGAGGAGCAGGACGAGAGCTCCTCGGTCAACCTGGAGTTCTCGCAGCTCTCCATGCTCCCACACCTGGCTGACCTGGTCAGCTACAGCATCCAGAAGGTGATCGGCTTCGCCAAGATGATCCCGGGATTCAGGTGAGGCCGCGGATCCCAAATTCGCTGTTTCCCGCTGCCGGGAACCCCGTGCTGCCCTTCCCAGCCATTCCTCAGCTCTGCTCTCTGGCTCTCCCCCTCCCTGGGGTTCTCCCCTTTTCCCAATACCCTGGAAAACGCAGGCAGATTCCACCAGGGAGACACCCAGAGCACCTGAGGGGCCTGGTGCGGGGCCTCAGGCTCCGTTCATTCCAAGATTTGGGGCAAAAACACACCTGAAAAAAAAACCCAGAATGGGAATTCCTGAGGAGGAGCCTCAGGTTCTGTTCGTTACAAGATCTGGGGCAAAAACACACCTGAAAAACACCCTGGAATGGGAATTCCTGGGGAGGGAGCCCCAGCTGAGGGCCTGTGAGCACCCTGGGGGTGGCAGCTCCTGTCCCCTGTGTCCCCTGAGCTCCCCATCCAGAGGGCAAATCCTCCTGCAGGGAGCTGTCTGTAGAGGACCAGATCGTGCTGCTCAAGTGCAGCGCCATGGAGGTGATCATGCTGCGCTCCAACGAGTCCTTCACCCTCGAGGACATGTCCTGGACCTGCGGCAGCAGCGACTTCAAGTACAGGGTCAGCGATGTCACCCAGGGTAAGGGAGTGCCAGCCCCAAACCCCAACATTTCCTGACTTTGCCCCTGTTGGGCCTTCTCTCTGTGCCTGGCTTTGTGCTGAGAATGGGGCTCAGTCCTGCCCCAAATTCTGGGGGTTTAGGGGGTGACAAGTGGTGCTTCAAGGTCTGCAGTGCCACCTCCTCAATGGCCCCAGTGCCACCCCAACGTGTCTGAAAAAATCCCCTTCCAGAGGAAAAAAAAACCCTTCTAGAGGAAAAATAATCCCCTTCCAAAGGGAAAGATCCCCTTCCAGAGCCCCCCTGAGGCTCCGTTCTCTCCGCAGCCGGGCACAGCATGGACCTGCTGGAGCCGCTGGTGAAATTCCAGGTGGGGCTGAAGAAGCTGAACCTGCATGAGGAGGAGCATGTGCTGCTCATGGCCATCTGCATCCTGTCCCCAGGTAGGGACAAACCCACCCCAAACCCTAAAATCCCACAGAAGGGAGGGGAAAAACCCCAAATCCCCAAAACCCACAAAAGGGAGGAAAAACCCCTAAGTACAGCTGGCCCTAAAAAGGGACAAAAGGGAGGGAATCAGCCCAAACCCTAAAAACCCACAAAGGGGAGAAAATTCCCCCAAATCCTATAAAGGGTTGAAAGGGAGGGAATCAGCCCAGACCCTGAAACGGGACAAAAGGAAGGGAATCCTCCCAAACCCTAAAAAGGGAGGGAATCAGCCAAAAAGCCACAAAAGGAAGGGAATTGTCCCAAACCCTATAAAGGGGTGAAAGGGAAGTGAATCCCCCCAGACCCTAAAAACCCACAAAAGGCAGGGAATCCCCCTAGACCATAAAAAGGGACAAAAAGGGAAGGGAATCAGCCCAAACCCTAAAAAGGGGTGAAAGGGAGGGAATCCCCCAGACCCTAGAACGAGACAAAAGGGAGGGGATCCCCGCCAACACTAAAAAGCCACAAAAGGGAGGGAATCACCCCAGACCCTAAAAACCCACAAAAGGGAGGATATCTCCCCAAAACCTATAAAGGGATGAAAGGGAGGGAATCCCCCCAGACCACAGAAAGGGACGAAAGGGAGAGAATCCCCCCCAAACCCTAAAAAGGGACAAAAGGGAAGGGAATCCCCCCCAGCCCTACAAACCCCCAAAGGGCAGAGCGTGCCCCCTGAGCCCTGCCCTGCCGCAGACCGGCCGGGCGTGCGGGAGCCGCTGCGGGTGGAGGCGCTGCAGGAGCGGCTCTCGGAGGTGCTGCAGAGCTACATCCGCGCCCGGCACGCCGCGCCCGGCGGCCGCCTGCTCTACGCCAAGATGATCCAGAAGCTGGCGGACCTGCGCAGCCTGAACGAGGAGCACTCGCGGCAGTACCGCTGCCTGTCCTTCCAGCCCCAGCACAGCATGCAGCTCACGCCGCTGCTGCTCGAGGTGTTCGGCAACGAGATCTCCTGAGAGCCTGCCCCGGGGCCGGGCCGGCTGTACCGGGAGGAGCCCGGGCAGGGGTGGGGGTCTGGCAGGCAGCTGGCGCACCCCTCCGCCGATGTTTTGCCTCGAATCCCTTCTTTTCCCGATGGCGTGGAAGGGGAAGTGCCCGGAGGTGAGCCCCGGGTGCTGCTGCGGGTGCCGTGCTCTGCTCCCCCCGAAATGCCGCAGCGCCCGTGCGCTCTGACACCCCAAATCCCGGCCAGGAGGGGCCACGGGCGGTGTGCCCGCAGCTCCAGCGCAGCCCGTGTGCTGCTGCCGCCGCACCGGCTGCGCCGAGAAAGCCCCGGGAGGGGACGTGGTGGCCTGGACCCTCAACGGGAAGAGCAGGACGAGCTTTGTTTGCACTCCCTGGGAATGGGGGAGCAGGGGCAGCTCCAGGGGACACCCCCACTTTGGAGCTGCCCCCTTCTGCGGGATGGGGTGATGACTCCTGGGATGGAACAGGGACCCCAGTCCCAGCTTGGCTTCCTCCCCCTGCCATGTCCTGGAGGCGGCTCCAGGCCTGAGAAACCCTGGGAAGGGGGATTTGGGAGCTGAGGGGCTCCAGACCCCCGGGAAGAGCCATCACAGCCCCCCCGGGCCATGAGCAATGGTCAGAGGGTCCCCAGCGTCCGGAGGGTGCCCGGCTCCGGCCAATAAACTCCTGCTTGGGCAAATCAACTCTGCGCCAGGCTCGTGTGTCCATCCCCGGGGGCTCTCCACGGCCGTGTCTGTGTGTCCGGCGGTGTCCGTGTGTCCCTGTCCCTCTGTCCCGATCCCGCCCCGCGTGTCCCCATTCCGGGCCGCCAGAAGGCGCTCGCCACACCAACCCGGCGCTTTGGCCCCGCCCCCTGCGCGTGCGCACTCTCGGGGGCGGGGCTGATCCTGGGCAAGCGCGGGACAAAATTGGCGGGAAGCGCTTACGATGAGGGGGCGTGGCCCCATGGGGGCGTGGTCTCCTCGCTGGCATGCGCAGTGCCGCGCGCGCCGCCCGGCTCGTGGTCATGGCCGCCACCGGCCCCGGCCCCGGCCCCGGGCACAAGCGGCCGCACCCCGAGCCCGCCGCCCGCATCGGCACCCACGACGGCACCTTCCACTGCGACGAGGCGCTGGCGTGTTTCCTGCTGCGCCTCCTGCCCCGCTACCGGGTACGGCACCGGCAGCGCGCCCGGCTCGGGGCATGAACCGGGCACGAACGGGACGGGGGCACCGTGCGGTGCCGGCTCCCGACGTCTTCCTCCGGGTCGCTCCTCTCTCGGCCCCATGTGGGGACACTTCAGCCCACCCAGCGGCCGCTCTCTGTTCCCGGTGCCACCTGGGGTCCACCCTTGTGTCCTCAGTCCTTCCTGGGGGTCCCCGGTGCCACCTGGGGTTCACCCTTGTGTCCCCAGTCCTTCCTGGGGATCCCCGGTGCCACCTGGGTGTCCCTCTTCTGTCCCCGGTGCCACCCTTGTGTCCCCAGTCCTTTCTGGGGGTCCCCGGTGCCACCTGGGGGTCCCTCTTCTGTTCCCGGTGCCACCTGGGTGTCCCTGTTCTGTCCCCGGTGCCACCTGGGGGCCACCCTTGTGTCCCCCCCCCCTCCTCAGGGTCCCTCCCCGGTGTCCCTCGTCCCCCGGAGCCGCTCCCGGTGTCCCCGGTGTCCGTGACCCGGTGTCCCCGGCAGGACGCGGAGATCGTGCGCACGCGGGACCCGCAGCTCCTGGCCGCCTGTGATGTTGTGGTGGACGTGGGGGGCGAGTACGACCCGGGGCGGCACCGCTACGACCACCACCAGAGGTGAGCCCCCGCCGGGGCCAGCGGCGGCCCCGCTGCCCGGGGTGACCCCGGGGTGACCGCGTGGCCCCGCAGGTCCTTCACGGAGTCCATGCGGAGCCTGCGGCCGGACAAGCCCTGGGGCACGAAGCTGAGCAGCGCCGGGCTCGTCTACTGCCACTTCGGGGAGCAGATCCTGGCGGGGCTGCTGGGGCAGCCCGAGGACGGGCCCGTGGTCACTGCGCTCTATGACAAGGTGACAGGGGTGACAGGGGGGCACCCTGCCGGGGTGACGGTTCTGCCCTGGCTTGTCCTCGGTGGGGATGGGGGAGGCTGGTTTGTGGCAGCTGTGCTTCCAGCCAGGCTCTGCACTGTCCCCTCGCTGCCCCTGTGTCCCCACTGTCCCCTCGCTGTCCCCAGCTGTACGAGAACTTCGTGGAGGAGGTCGATGCCATGGACAACGGGATTGCGCCGGCGGCGGGGGAGCCGCGCTACGCCCTGAGCACCACCCTGAGCGCCCGCGTGGGGCACCTGAACCCCCGCTGGAACGACCCCGAGCAGGACACCGAGGTGGGGACAGCCCTGGGGACAGCCCCTGGGGACACCCTGCTTGGGGACAGCCCTGGGGACAGCTCTGGGGACACCTGCCTGGGGACAGGCTTTACCGTGGTGCCCCGTGTCCCCAGGCGGGGTTCAGGAGGGCCATGGAGCTGGTGGGCAGCGAGTTCCTGCAGCGCCTGGATTTCTACCGGCACGCCTGGCTGCCCGCGCGGGCGCTGGTGGAGGAGGCCGTGCGGCGCCGCCTCGAGGTGACCTGGGATTCCGGGGAGGTGACATTCTGGGGCCTGGGGAGGTCACATCCCTTGGGCAGAAACCTCCCGGGGCGGCTCTGCACCCCACATTCTGCACGGCCCCGGCAGCCCTGCAGGAGGGACGCGGAGGTCTCAGGGCACGGAGCCCAGGGTGGTTTTTGGTTTTGGGAGCCACCCCCATGTCCCCAGTGTGTCCCCAGCGTGTCCCCCCCGCAGGTGGACGCCAGCGGGCAGGTCCTGGAGCTGTCGCAGGGCGGCTGTCCCTGGAAGGAGCACCTGTTCCAGCTGGAGCAGGAGCTGGCCCTGCCCCGGCCGCTGCTGCTCGTGCTGTTCCCGGACCGGGGCGGGCAGTGGCGGGTGCAGAGCGTCCCCACAGCCCCCCACAGCTTCCAGAGCCGGTGAGACCCCTCCCCTGGCCCTGCCCGCGCCCCCCTGTGGGGCCGGGGTCACTCTCAAACCCCGTGTCCCCCCCAGGCTCCCCCTGCCCGAGGCCTGGCGGGGGCTGCGGGACGAGGCGCTGTCCGAGCTGGCCGGGATCCCCGGCTGCGTCTTCGTCCACGCCAGCGGCTTCATCGGGGGCAACCGGACCCGGGAGGGGGCCCTGGAGATGGCCCGGAGGACGCTGGAGCTCGGGGAGGGCACAGAGAGCTCGTGAGCCCCCTCCCCAGCGGGGTCACCCCAGAAGGGAGCCCCTGGCCCAGTGTGGGATGCCAGAGATGTGCAGGGACCGTTCCCGCGTGGATCCTGGATTCTCCGAGGGATCTGCTGTGCTGGGGGGCAGCAGCCCCTCGCGGGGGTCTCAGAGCACCCACCCCCCGTGCTGGACGGGTGCCAGTCCAGGCAGTGACTTTTTGGCTCCATTTCCTGGGAGTTTGAGCCCGTTCCTGTCATGTCCCTGCACCAGTAAAAACCAGTTTGTGCCCAGTGGATTCGCTCTTGATGGGTCTTGGGGGTCCCAGGGGGTGCTGCGTGTGACACTGGGGGGGGTTGCTGTGACTCAGGGACAGCCGTGACCCCCTCCAGCACGGCGACAGCACCCGGTGCCCGCCCCCGATGGCACTGCGTGTCACCAGCACGCGGGGGGGTCACGGTGTCCCCTCCCTCCCTCCGGGGCCATGCGGGCGGCCGCGCTGCTCCTGCTGTTCCTGCTCCTGCTGCTGCTGCCCCAGCACCCCCGGGGGGGCTCCCGGTGCCCCGGGGGGGCTCCACCGGCGCCGGTCCCCCCCAGCGGCCACAACGAGACGCTGGGGAGGGGCGCGGGGCCAGCGCGGGTCCCCGACGTGGCCGCGCTGGTGGCCGTGGGGGGGTGGCTGGGCTTGGTGCTGCTCTGCGTGCGCCGCTCCGTGCGCCGCAGCCGGGAGGAGACGCGGCTGCACCTGCGGTACCTGCGGGCCCTGCCGGCACGGCCACACCGGCACCGGGAGGAGGAGGAGGAGCCCGGGAGCCAACCGGGCAGGCCCGAGGGGTGAAGCCCCCCCAGGCTGGCCCCAGCAGCTGCGGTGGGTTTGGAGCCCAGGCCACCCCTGGATCCCCCCCCGGATCCTCCTGCCCAGCCACAGGAAGGGGCTGGATGCTGTGGGGGGAAGGGAGGGGTCTCCCCATTGCTCTGGGGTGGATTTTGGGGGTCCTGGGGCTGTTGGGTGGGGGGAGCAGGGACCCTGTGCTCTGCCTGTCCTCCCTGCCAGCACAGCGTAATCCTGGGATTAAGGGGGTGTAATCCTGGGATTAAGGGGGTGTAATCCTGGGATTTCACTGTGCCACCCCCAGCAGCAGCGCTCATCCCCCTTGCGGGGGGGGGGGCCCAGCTGCTGCCCCCACCCTGCAGGGCTGGGGGGGCTCGCCTGGGGCACCACGAGCACCCTGGGGGTCCCGGGGCTGGGGTTTGGGGACTCTCGGAGGGTTTGGTTCACTTTTGCTCACCCTCAAGACGAAGCCTGGGGGTTGGTGTGGGGTTCCCCTTCAGCCAGCACCCGTCCCCAAAATGGGGCTCTTTGATCCCAAAAGAGCAGCCCTGGCCCACGGGCTGCACTGGGATCACATCAACAGGTTCTGTGAGTTCATCCCAAGCTCTTTCTGACCCCAAAAACCAACTCTGGAACCCCCAGAACCCCTGCAGACCCACAGGACTTCCCAAATTCACCCCCAAAATGTTCCAGTCGCATCGGGGTGAGGAAAGAAGACGAGGGGGAAGGAAAATCCACCTTTAATCGGGGCAGGATCAGCACTGCCGGACCCTGAGCAGGTGTGGGGGGCTCCTGGAGGGAGAGGAGGCCCTGGGGTGGCTGAGGGGGCCCGGGGGGGCCCCGGGGGGCTCTCAGAGCTCGGAGAAGAGCGGCTGCTCGCGGACGCTGCCCAGCACGGGCGCGGGGCTGCGGCGCGGGCTGCCGCGGGGCTCCAGGGCGCTGACGAAGAAGAAGGGGATGTGGGAGATCCTCCCCGAGGACCAGCACTGCAGGGGACAGGGTGGGGCAGGGCTGAGCGTCCAAACGGCTCAGAAATGGGAAACACCCGCTGGGGTGGAGCACAGCCCCCGACAGCACCGTGTCACCCAGGCTTTGTCACCCAGGCTTTGTCAAGCCCCTTCCTGTCCAGGCTCTGCCTCAACACCCCCAGGATGTTCAGCTCCCCAGCCCACTCCAATGTCCAGTCACCCTTTCTGGGAAGAAATTCCTGAAGCCCACCCAAAGCTCCCCCAGCTGTGGCCCCTGGTCCTGTCACTGGGAGCAGAGACCTCACCTGGCTGCCCCTCCTGTCAGGAAGGATGAGGCTCCCCCTGAGCCTCCTCCTCTCCAGGCTGAGCCCCTTCCCCAGCTCCCTCAGCCCCCCAGAGCTCCAGGCCCTTCCCCAGCTCCGTTCCCTTCTCTGGACGTGCTCCAGATCCCAAAATCTTTCCTGAATTGGGGGATCCAGACCTGGACACAGCACACGAGGTGAAGCCATGGAGAGAAACAACCCCCTGCTCCTGCTGGCCACTCCAGCCCCAAGCCAGGCCAGGATCCCACCAGACTTTGGCCACCTGGGCACACCTGGCTCATGTCCAGCACTGCCCCTCAGTCGCTCCAGGTCCCTTCCTGCCCGGCCACTGTCCGGCCCCTCTGTCCCCAAAACACAGGACCCAACCCTTGGCTGGTTAAACCTCCTCTCCCTGGCTCACCCTGATGCCAGCCCCCTCCCAGTGCCACCAGTGTCCCCTGGGACTGGGAATGCCCCGAGGACGGACTCACCACGGTCAGGAGGGCGCCCTGAGGGAAGCAGGGGTGGAAGGAGATGAGCTGGGGCCGGGCACCGCGCTCGCCCCGCACGAAGCCGCTGTGGGGTGGGGGAACAGCCAGGGTTATGTCCTGGAAACAGGGAGCTGGGGGTGCTTGGGATGCACTGGGAAAGGACAACCCAAAGCCAAGGGGGTGAGGTGGGCAGGGGACAATGTGGCCAGAGCAGATTTCAGGGTGAAGCAGCGTCAGGGATTGGAGGGGCAGCACCAGGGGCAGCATTCCCCCATCACATCCTGGGAGTCAATGGGACTGAGTGAACCCAAACCCACCCCAACGAACCCAAACCACCCAAAACCCCCTGCCATGAACCCTAACCATCCCAATGAACCCAAAAGCCCCTGCCATGAACCCAAACCCAGCCCAATGAGCCCAAACCCACCCAAAACCCCCTGCCATGAACCCAAACCATCCCAATGAGCCCAAACCCACCCAAAACCCCCTGCCATGAACCCTAACCATCCCAATGAACCCAAAAGCCCCTGCCATGAACCCAAACCCAGCCCAATGAGCCCAAACCCACCCAAAACCCCCTGCCATGAACCCAAACCATCCCAATGAGCCCAAACCCACCCAAAACCCCCTGCCATGAAGCCAACCCATCCCAATAAACCCAAACCCTCCCAGCCCCACGCACCAGGGCAGGAGCTCGAAGACGGGGCTGTTGCGGGTGCGGAACACGGCGACGGCCGGCTGGCTGTCTGCACACTCGGGGTGGCCTGCAGGGGACAGCAGCACCAAGGCTCACCCTTGTCCCCCATGTCCCTTCTCCCAGGGCAGCAGGAGTCCCAGGCCAAAGCAGGAAGGGGGCAGGACTGACCTCTGATGATCACCGCCAGCCTCTCCCCGGTGGGGTCCCACACCATGGAATGAACCTCTCCTCCGATCCTGGAACAGCACGAGCCCTCAAAATTGAGGGGCAGAGACCCCCTGGGTGTCCCCAGCAGCGAGGGGTGGCTGCCAGGAGGAGCAGGGACCCCCCTGTGCCCCCAGGCAGACCCACCTCTCCTCCCCGTAGAGGGTCTCAAAGGTGGTCTCGGACAGGTCTGCCACGATCGAGGCCGTCTTGGAGCCTCCCACCTGCCCCTGCATCTCCCCTGGAAGGGCAGAATCCACACTCCAGCAATCCCACTGCACTGCCCCGGTGATCATTCATTTATTTCTCTCTCAGAGCAGCTGTGCTGGTGTCCCAGATGGAGGACAAGGGACAGCAAACACCAGGACCCCCAAGCTGGCTCTGGACCCACTGGAGTCTCCCTGAAATCCCTTCAAGACCCCACAGCTGTGACAGAAGAGCAACGTGAGGGATGGAAAAACCTGAATTCCAGAGATTTCCATGCTTGGGGACCCCAAAACACCCCCTGTGTGTCCCAGCTCCTCACCCCAAAGCTGTGGGGACATTTGGGAACCCTCTCCCAGCCCTTGGGAAGCTCCAGGTGGGACAAACTCACCCCGGTACTCGGAGAAGGACAAGGAGTAGATGACAGACTCGCCCAGCACGGTGAAGAGCAGCCGGCTGCCATCGGGGCTCCAGCAGCCTGTCTGTGGGACAGTGCCACCCTGTCAGCCTGCTGTGGGACAGTGCCACCCTGTCACCCTGCTGTGGGACAGTGCCACCCTGCTGTGGGATAGTGCCACCCTGTCACCCTGCTGTGGGACAGTGCCACCCTGCTGTGGGACAGTGCCACCCCTGTCTGGAGTGTCAGACTGGAGAAAAGGAGGCTGAGGAGGGACTTTTCACTCCACTAGTCCCTGATGGGGACGAGAGGGACACAGCCTCAGGCTGTGCCAGGAGAGGTTCAGGTTGGATATTGGGAAGATTTCCACACAATGAGGGAAAATTTCCACAATTTGTTGGGCTGGCTGCCCAAGGCAGGGGTGGAGTCCTCATTCCTGGAGGGATTTAAAAGCCCTGTGGATGTGGGGACACAGCTCAGTGGTGGCCTTCGCAGTGCCAGGGGCTGGCCTGGGTGGTCCCAGAAGACTTTTCCACCCTAAATGATTCCCTGGGAGGGGAATATCCCATCCTACCTGGCAGCGTCCCCGGATGGTGGGCCAGCGCTCACAGGTCCACATCTGGGCCTCCCACACCCTGCAGGAGATGGGCTTCAGGGAGCAGAATTCCTGGGAATTTGCCCCAGTCCTGCTGCTCTGGGGATCCATGACATCCAAGCCCGTCCCCCAGCCACTCCTAACTCTGTCCCCACAACAGGAACAGGAGCAGGGGGGAGATCTGGGATTTTCTGGCGTGAGGATGAGGATGGGCATGAGGAGCTCACCGGAACACGGCCGAGGGGGTGGCTGCCAGCACCTTGCTGCCATCGGGGGACCAGGCCAAGTAGGTGACACCGCCACCCCCAAACCACTGCAGCTGGACACAGGTCTCGGTGGACACGTCCCACACCTGGAGGGGACAAGGAGGACAATGGTGATTAGGGAACAGAGTGAAGATTTCAGGTCCAGGTGAAATCCCAGAGCTGCCCCTGTAGCAGCACTGCCTGTGCCCAGCCCGAGTGTCCCCAGGTGTCCCCAGGGGTGTCCCCAGGGGGGCCCTCACCAGCATGGCCGTGTCCACCGGTGACGCTGAGAGCAGCCGCTCCCCGCTGGGCGCCCAGGCCAGGCTGGTGACAGGGCTGTGCCCGGGGCAGGACAGCACCTGGGCACAGCCTGACGAGGGCCTGCAGGGAGAGGGAGAGGCCACCAGCGTTTGGGATTTGCTGGCAGGACGGTGGTGCTGCCCCAAAGCCAACCCCAGCGGGGTGACAGCGGCCGGGAAGGGAAGGTGGGAGCTGTCACCTGGTGGAGAGCGAGGTGGGGTCCAGGTGCCACACGAGGACACAGCTCTGGCAGGCCACAGCCAGGATGGAGGCACAGAGAGGCTTCCAGGCCATGGCAGCCACGTTCCTCTGCAGGCGGTGCTTCAGCGAGGGCACGGTGGCACTGCCAGAGAGGGGACAGGTGACAGGAGGAGCTGAGGGAGCCCTGGTGCAGCCACAGTGCCCCCGGCCAGCCCTGAGCACAGTGAGGGGACAGCAGGGTGGGGAGGGGGGTGCCCTGCCCTGTGCTTCCCGGGGAGGGGACAGGAATTGCCAGGCAGTGACACCACAGCGAGGCAGGGCACACCTGGTGTGACCGAGCTGAGGTGTCCCCAGTCCGGACAGAGCCCAGGCTGGCTGGGTGTCCCAGCTTGGGGACACCTCGGGGGGGACAGAGTCTTGTCCTGAGCAGGACCTGGCATTCCCTGGGGGATCAGGGACACCTGGGGGACAGAGGACACTCAGCCCGTGTCCCCCCGGCTCTGTCACCACCGCCAGGGCTGCGTGACCCCCAGGATGTCCCCAGAGGCACGGGGCAGGCAGGGGAAGGACAGGCAAAGCTCTTGAGGCTCAGGGGAGAGCAGGGAAGGAGAAGGGAGGGCTGAATGGGAGCCCAGGCGTGCCCAGGGGGCCGAGGAGGTCACGGGCAGCAGGCCCAGGGCAGTGCCCACCCCGGGACAAAGCCCCACCTGCTGGAGTTGTAGACACGGATGGAATCGTCCAGAAGAGCCACAGCGAATTTGTTGGTGTGGGGGTGCCAGGCGAAGGCCCGGATGGTGCAGCCAGCCCTGGAGGGGGCACAGGGCAGGGTGAGACCCCCCAGCACCCCCTGGGCTGGCAAAGACCCCTCTCAGAGTCCCCAGAGAAATAAAACTGCCTTTTTGCTGCTCAACAGAACCACTTTCTTTGAGAAATTCCCTGTTTCTGGGGATTATTCACAGGGCTCTGCTGAGGCGCTGGTGACCACAGCCTGGGGCTGGAATTGGAAGGAATTTTCCAGGCTCTGATCTCCTTCAACCCTGATCTCTCTCTGACCAGGACACACAAACCAGGGCAGCCAGAGCCAGTGGGGCAATATTTGCCTTTAATGGCAGAGCCCACCCAAACGGGGCCATGCTGTCCTTGTACTCCCATCTGGGGGGTCCCAGACCCCGGCACGGTGATTTTGGGACACTCACCAGTCCACGGCCTGGGAGAAGGCTGCGATCATGTCCTCACTGGTCAGCTGCAGGGAGAGGAGAACACTGAGCTGGCAGCAGTGACCCCCAGCTTCCAGCCCTTTCTCCCTGTCCCCCACCAGGATTTGGGCCCCTCTTGGAGCACCAAACTCCTTCCCAGTATCCATTTTCCGCCAGAGGAGGAAGGAGCAGTGTCTGGAGCTGGGCATCACCAGGAGGAGCATTTCAGGGGGGTTTTAGTGGGGAAGGGACCACCCCCCACCCCAAATCCCCTTGCCCCCAGCATGGAAGAGGCCAGAATGACTCACGGACAGGTGAGGGAACAGCGACCCGTGCAGCGAGGACAGCCAGCGGCACACGGCCAGCGCGTGGCTCGAGCCCGTCCGCAGCCAGCGCAGCCCTGCACAGGGCAAAGGGAGCCTCAGCATCCCTGCCAGCCCCCCGGGGGACGCGGGCAGGGACAGCAGGGCCCAGCCAAAGCCCCGCAGCGGGACCTGGCATCTCCAGGCAGCCCGAACTCACCCTCCTCCTCGGCGCCGGCCAGCTCCCGGAGCAGCCCGCAGAGCCCGGTGTCGCGCCTGCGGCGAGAGCGCGGTCACCGCCCGGCCGGCCCGCTCTGGGCACAGCGGGGCTCTATGGGCACAGCGGGGCTCTATGGGGACAGCCAGGGCTCTCTGGGGACAGCGGGGCTCTATGGGGACAGCGGGGCACGCTGGGGACAGCGGGGCACTCACCAGGCGCTGAGGCAGCGCTTCCAGAGCGACTCGCGGTGGTGGATGAAGGGCGGGCGGGCGCTGGGCTCCAGGCGGCCGTGGGCCTTGAGAGGCTCCTTGGGCAGGCTCAGCAGACAGCAGGGCTCTATGGGGACAGCCGGGGCTCTATGGGGACAGCCGGGGCTCTCTGGGGACAGCGGGGCACGCTGGGGACAGCTGGGACTCTCTGGGGACAGCGGGGCTCTCTGGGGACAGCCAGGGCTCTATGGGGACAGCGGGGCATGCTGGGGACAGCGGGGCTCTCTGGGGACAGCGGGGCACGCTGGGGATAGCGGGGCTCTATGGGGACAGCCAGGGCTCTCTGGGGACAGCCAGGGCTCTATGGGGACAGCGGGGCACGCTGGGGACAGCGGGGCACTCACCAGGCGCTGAGGCAGCGCTTCCAGAGCGACTCGCGGTGGTGGATGAAGGGCGGGCGGGCGCTGGGCTCCAGGCGGCCGTGGGCCTTGAGAGGCTCCTTGGGCAGGCTCAGCACGGGCAGGTCAGGAACCTGCGGCACACACAGCCCCCCCTGAGCTCCCTGAACCCCCTCAGCTTCCCCGAGCTCCCCTGAGCTCCCTGAACCCCCCCGAGCTCCCCCGAGCCCCGGGGCACACAGGGACCCCCCCAGGGCAGCGGGCAAACGGCGAGGGGAGGAAAGCAGGGACACAAGGAGGGGCGAAGGAGCAGCCCGAGGGTGCCCGGAGAGACCCAGCAGAGGGAACAGAGCTGCAGCCACAGCTGAGGGGGACAAAGGCGGCAGCCCCGGGCTGCGGGGGGCTGGCAGCCCGAGGCTGCCCCGGCTCGGGCCTCACCTGGCTCTGGAAGGCCAGCGGCAGCTGCTCGCTGAGGCGGCCGCAGACCAACGCGTTGTTGAGCTCGTACAGGGTGACATCCCCAGGCGGAGGCGGCGGCGGGAACAGCCCCAGCGAGCACATGGCGGCGCCGAGCCTGGGGGCCGGGGGCGACGGCTGAAACCGCGGCTGCCCTCGGGATGCGCCGGCCCCAGGCCGCCGACCCTTCCGCCGGTCCCCCCGCCCCTCACAACCCGCGGTGCCCCCCGGTTTTTCCCTCACCCCTCACAACCCCCGGTACCCCCGGTTTCCCCCCGGCTCCCCCTCACCCGCTCCCCGCCCTCAGCCCCCGGCGCCGCCATCTTGGCTCCCCTCACCCCTTCCCGCTCCCGTTCGCGCCAATCGCCGCCGCGCGCCGCCCTCGTGGCTCCGGGCGCGCGTGGGAGGGGAATTAAAAGGGCCGCGGCTCTGGTGAGAAATACGCGGAGTCCTCACCGCGGGACAACGCCACGCTCCCCGACCTTCCTCCACGGAGGAGAGATGATATCAGCGACCCATGCACAGCCGCGCTCCACCGGTGCCTTAGTGGCCCTCCCGTTGTAACGAGGATTGATTTAAATGATGACTGCTTTTTTTACAGTCGTTGCCCCTTTAAGAAAGGCGGAGCCTCCTTTGAGGGGCGGGGCGAGGGGCGTGTGCGGCAAACGGGTCACGTGGTGTCCGAGCGGGGCCGTCCCGGGACCGGGGATGGGGACGGGAACGGGAACGGGAACGGGAACGAGACCCCCGGGACCACCCTGGGACCCCCCTGGGGCACCTCCGGGGCACCCCCGCGTCCCGCGGGCACCCCCGGTCCCGGTCCTGTCTAGTGCTCGCGCAGCATCCCGCGCTCCCGTGTCCCCGGTGCCGCCGCCCCCGGTGTCCCCTCCGCGGGTGCCCGTGTCCGTGCTCCCCGTGCCCCCTGGGTGCCGCTCCCGGCCGTGCCCCCCCTTGGCTCGCTCCCAGCCCCTCTCCCGGGGCTCCCGCTTCCCTCGTGTTTGTGCCCGTGTTTTCCTTAGCGGCCGCAAGAGTTATTTTAATTTTCTCAGGATATTAAATAAAGGCGGCGGGGGGAGCTGCGGCGGGGGGCCCCACATTCCTCGCCCGTTACGGAGCGAGCGGGGTTCGATAGGAGACGGCGATTTGGGATGGCGCCGACATCAGAGCCACCGCAGGGCTGGCGTGGCCCCGCGGCGTCCCCCGGACCCCCCCAAAGGCAGCGAGACGGGGAAAGGGGCGGAGGTGGCGGGGGCGTCCCCGGGGGGGTCGCTGGATGGGGCTGGGCTCTGTGGTTTGGGAGGCTCCGGGCGGTCGAGCCCTCGGTGGCCGCCGGGCCGGGGTTTGGCTCGGGGCTCCTCGCCCCGCTTGGCACCGGCCCACCCACGGCGAGCGGGGCCGGGGTTCTGGGGGAAAAGCCCCGAAAAGGGCGAGTTTGTGTCAGGCAGGGCGCGGGGCGCGACACGGAGAGGTGGCACTGCCACTCCAAGCAGGGAGCCACCCTGGGGACAGCTCTGCGCGGTGGCACCGAGCTCCGGCCGCTCCACTGCCGCCTCCGTGCCTCAGTTTCCCCACGCCGTGTCCCCCTGGGGACAGCCGGGCCCTGGCCGGCTCGTGGCCACCGTGACTCGCCCGGGGCTGGCACGGGACCTGCTGCCAGCCCTGTCCCTGTCCCCCCGCGGGCCCACGGGTGCCAGCTCTGCCCCCCCGCCCCGTGCTGGCACTGGAGCTCCTTTCCGCCTCCTGTTGCCTTTTTCCGTGGCTTTTTGGGTTTTTTTTTTCAGGAAAAGCCCCAAACCAGGGCTGAGCGCATCAAAGCGCTGGCGGGAGCCCCGGGCAGGGGGAGGGGGAGCGCAGTGGGGTCCCCGCCAGCCCACAGCGCCCAAAATTGGGGTGTCCTCGGGGACACGTGGCCCCGCCGCGTGCCCTGTGCTGCCACGTGGGCCCTGGGATGTGGCCGGGGGGAAACTGAGGCACGGGGCTGTGCGCAGGCGTGTTCCCGTGCACACGATGTCCCGGGAGTGGGGACACGCGGGGGCAGGGGACAATCCTGCCAGGCCCCACAGCCTGCCAGGCTTTGGCTGTCCCTGAGGCTGGGGACACGAGGAGGGACATGGGGACAGAGGGACATGGGGACAAGGAGACCGTGGGGAGCACAGGGGACAGAGCCCTGGGGACACGGTGACAAGATCCTGGGAAGGGGGAGAGGCACAGGATATGGCACCCCAGGGGCTGAGGACAAGGGACAGCCCAGCTTGTCCCCCACCCTGCTGAGCTCCTGCCACCCCCAGAGAGGGGGGACACAGCAGTGCCCCCCGTGCCTCAGTTTCCCTCGGAGCCCTGCAGAGCACATCCCTGTGATGAAGCCGCCTGGCTCCACTCTCAATCCTTTTATTGCTTTTTTTTTCCGGGGGGGCAGGAGGGGCAGGCAGCTAAAAAAAGTGGGGGGGGGACACGTTACATTAGCACTGATGAACCAGGCTGGGGGAGGGGGGCAAACCCTGTCCCTGAGTGCGGGGGGCGAGGCGAGGGCTGGGGGTAAGAAGGGTTGGGGGGTTGGAAGGGAAAACAGAAAGGGGGGGGTCTCACCTTGACACCCCCCCCCGTGAGCCCCAGAGCGCTCGGAGAGCCCCCCCATAATTTAAGACATAAATTAGAATGGCTAACGAGGAGCTGGGGAACTGAGGGGGAGGGGGCTTGGCGGGGGGAGCAGCACCCCGTAATAAATATCCCCAGCGGCGAGGAGGAGGAGGAAGATGAAGGCGGAAAGGCTCAAATCTCCAACAAACTCCCGGCCTCGGGGCTGCCGCCGTCCTTGCCGGGCGAGGCGGGCGGCGGCCGGGGGGACGCGGGGGGCTGCTCGGCGCCGGGGGGTGGCTTGGGGGGGTCGGCGTGGGTCTTCTGGTGCTTGCTGAGGTGGTCGGAGCGGGTGAAGCGCTTGCTGCACAGCAGGCAGGTGAACTTCTTCTCTCGCGTGTGGGTCCGGACGTGGCGCTCCAGCTCGTCGGAGCGGGTGAAGCGCTTGCCGCAGAAGAGCCAGTTGCACACGAAGGGCCGCTCGCCCGTGTGCCAGCGCAGGTGCGCCTTCAGGTGCGACGCCTTGCCGTACACCTTGCCGCAGCCCGGGATGTGGCAGCTGTGCACCGGCTTCCGCCGCGCCCCCGCCGCGCCCCCGAGCCGCTCCAGCTCCTGGCAGTTGGGACAATCGCACGCCGGGCGTCCCCCCAGGGAGCCGCCGCGGGGACCCTTGGGGGTCTCGCCCGGCGTGGGTTTAGGGGTGGGGGGCGCGGCGGGGGCGTTGGTGTAAGGAGGGGGGTTCAGAGCGCCGAAATCGGAGCCGTAGGTGGGCAGGGGGGGGCTGAGGGTGGGCTGGCCCTGCAGCGAGCCCTGCAGCCCCTCGGCGCCCGCCGGCCCCCCCAGCCAGCCCCCGTTGGGGTGCACATCCCACCAGGACGGGGCCGCGGGCCCGGAGCCCCCCGGCAGCCCCCCGCCGATGCCGCCCTTGTACCAGGAGCCGTAGGGGTGCGGCATCTCCAGCGAGGGGTACACCCCCGGCAGGCACTCGCCCGCGGGGTGCCCCTTGGCCACCACCACGGGGGCCCCCAGCACCTCCTGGGCGCCCGAGGGCGCTGGGAAGGGGTGCCCGAAGGGGCCGTAGTCGGGGCCGTAGGGGCCGGGGGACGCCTGGGGGCTGGCGGACGGCGACAGCAGCCCCGGGGCGCTGGGGAAGGCGGCGGCGTAGGAGTCACCCATGGCGATGGCAGCGGGGGCACCCCGAGGCGTGGGGGGCGATGTCAGCGGGGGCTCGCGGCCATGGCACTTGGCAGCCTGTGGAAAAGGGGAACGGGGCTTGGAGGTTCCGAGGGGCACTGTGTGCCACGGGGTGACCCGTCCTGGGGGTCAGCGCTGGGGTGTCAGCTGTATTGGGGTGTCAGCCCTGCTGCACCCCCCAGCCCCAGGGTTCCCCCCAGCCCCAACACTCCCCATCCCCTGTGCCTCAGTTTCCCCCCACAGGGCTGAGGCCACCCCACCACCCCTCAGCCCAGCATCACCCCTAAAAGGGGCTTCTCCGGGGGCTGCTGTGGGGTTGTGCTGGTGGCAGGGCCTCCCCCCACCCCCAATCTCGGCTCCTTCTGCCTTTATGGCCTTTTAATCGAATTATGCTGTGGCCTCCCCCTCCCCGGGTGACTTCCTCTGCTTTTATACCCGTCATGGCTTTCAGCTGCGCGGGCTGGGCCGGGGTGTCGCGAGCTGTCCCTCACCCCCATCACCCCCGGCCTTCCCTTTATTTGATTTTTTTTTTTAAATTCATCTTTTCACCCACCTTGGGGCATTTTCACTTTGCCTTTTTTTGTTTGTTTGGGGTTTTTTTTTTAGGGTGTTCCCCTCCTCGCCCCCCTTTCTTTTTTTTTTCTTTTTTTTTTTCCGTGGTTTTTGCGCCTATTTTTACGCCGGCCCAGCCGTGGCCGCAAGCGCGCTCCCGGTTTTCCAAGGATAACAAGGGCCAGGCCTGTGCCCCGGGAACGCTGCCCTGCCGCGAGAGCCGAGGTAATTAAAACCAGGGCGAGCGGCAAACGGAGGCGCACGCTTAAAATAGTGTCAAACTCCCATAAATCAGCTCCGCTTGCGCCGGGAAATTAAGGAGCAGGGAAGGAGCCCCGGGAGCTGCGGGCTGGGGACGGCGTGAGCTCGCTGCTGCTGGGGGTGACAGTCCCTTTGTGCTGCCTCAGGGATCCTGACCCCTCCCATGTCCCCTCCTGGCGTGGGGAGGGGTCCAGCCCCTGCTCTGGGGGTCTCTGGTCCCAAATTCTGGGTCCCAAATTCTCGGTCTCTTGTCGCTACCTGTCAGTGTCCAGTTCTTATCCTCAGTTCCAGTTCCCCACTCCCCATCCCCTTGTCCCCCAGTCCCTGGTCCCCTAAGTCCGCAGCTCCTTGGTCCCCAAACCCAGTCCTTGTCCCCAGTCCCAACCCCCAAACCCCATCCCTGGTCCCCACTCCCCGGTCCCTGGCCCCAAGTGTCCCCACAGCCCTTGCCTCAGTTTCCCCCACCCTGTCAGTGCCACCCCCTGTCCCCTGAACCCGAGGACACGTGGGCCTGGCTCCTGTGCAGTGGTGCTGTCCCCAGCCAGAGGGACAGCTCAGGGTGACAGTGGCACCATGCCCCTGTCCCTGTTCCCCCTCTGGGCATGGCAGGGCAGTCCCTGCTGGGGCAGGGGACACACACACGTGTCCCCCAGCACAGGGACCGCAGGGGGGGTCCCTGTCCTTGGGGGGTCCCATATCCCAGGGGGCTCCCCCATCCTCGAGCGAGTCCACCACCTCGTGGGTCCCAAATCCCGGGGTCCCTGCCCCAGAGCAGGGATCCCTCATCCCAAAGGGTCCCTGATCCTCAAGAGGGATCCCCCTCCTAAAGGGTCCCTGTCCCTCCAGGGGGATCCCCCATCCCAAATTGTCCCTGCCCCAGAGCAGGGATCCCCCATCCCAAACTGTCCCTGTCCCTCGAGGGGGATCCCCCACCCCGTGTTCCTCTAGCCGGGGTCCCGGTCCCGGGGCAGTGTCCCCCATCCCGAAGGGTCCCGGTCCCGGGGGTCCTTACCGGGGATGCCGGGGGTGGGTCCTGCCCGCGGGGGTGCCCTGTCGCCCTGTCCCGCTGTCGCGCTGTCGCCCTGTCGCGGTGTGCCGCTGTCCCGGGATGCCGGTGTCCCGGGATGCCGGGGCTCGCTGCGGAGGGAGGGACGGAGGGAGAGGGAGGGAGGGACGGAGGGAGGGAGGGACGGAGCACCGCGGCCGCCGCCCGCCCCGCTGTGCCGCTGCGGCGGGGCCGGGCCGGGACCGGGGCCGGCAGCGGAGCCCGGCCCCGAACCGCCCCCAGCCCGGGGGGGCCGGGGGACCGCGGGAAGGGGGCAGGGGAAGGGGAAGAGGAAAAGGAAAGGAGGAAGGAAAAGATGAGAGAGGGGGAAAGAAAGAGAAAAGGGGGAGAGAAGAGAAAGGCGAGGAAAGAACAAGGAATTGGAAGAGGGAAATAAGTTAGAGAGAAAAGGAGAGAAAGAAAAGAGATAAGGAGGAAAGGGGGAAGGAAAAAGGAAGGGAAAAGTTAAAAAGGAAATTAAAAAGGGAGGGAAGAGAAAAGAAATATTCTATAAGGAAATGGAAGAAAAATTAAAGAAAAAGTTGTGAATGGAGGAAGATGAGGCTGAGAGCTGGAGGAAGGAGGGGAGATAGGGGACAGGGACCAGTGGGGAGAGGGAAGGAAGGGAAAGGAGGGAAAAGGAAAGGAGAAGAAATAAGAGGGAAATAAGAAGAGGAAAAGGGGAAGGGAAAGGAGGGAGAGGGGGAGAAAGGGATGGACAGAGGAAAAGGAGGAGGAAGGGGCTGGGAAGGGAAGTGGATGAAGACGAAAAGTGCTGGAGAGGAGAGAAGGAATGAAGGAATAGATGGATGGGGAGGGGAAGGGGGACAAAGGGACAAAGGAGGACAGGACAGCTGGGACACCCAGGGCTCGTGACCCCGGAAGGTGCCAGGATGGTGCAGGATGGGGACAGCCGAGGGGGGTGAGAGGGACGTGGGCTGGAGCTTCAGGTACCAGGAATGGGGTCAGAGGCGTGGGAATGGGAACAGGAGTTGGGAATGGAGCGGGGATGGGGCTGCAGGGACCAGGGATGGGGGTCAGGAGTGAGAACAGGGCTGGGCTCTGAAGGAACAGGGCTGGGGACAGGGACATGTGCAGGGGGACAGGGACACGCACGGCTCTGGCGATGGGGACACCCTGTGCCTCAGTTTCCCCCATGAGGAACTGTTCCAACCGCTCTTTTACGCCCCCTCCCATTTTTATTTTATTACTCCCCGTCCTCCCCGGTTTCTTCGCGCTTTCCCCGCTGCCCGTTTCCGCCGCCGGAGCCAGCGGGGCCCTTTCCCAGCCCTGAGTCAGGGCTTTCCGCTCCGCAGCCGCCGGCGCCGCCGAAGGCCACAAGCACCGGCCCCCCCTCGCTGGGGCTTCCACTGCCCACAGACTGGGAGCAAACTGGGACGGCCACCCCAGCCCTCCTCCTCCTCAGCCAGACCATGGGTTTTCTGGGGGGTTTCACTCCCACCAGGGTCCGGCTCACCGCGGCTCCGGCGCTGCCCGAGCGGCCGCGCTGGGCCGGGGGTGTCACTCGGGGCGGGGGGTCTCTCCGCGGCTCGGGGGCGGTG